CTGTTTCACTGTTGAGTAAAATGTATTTCAGCAAAGGTGGGGCAATGAATGGAATGACAGGCCTGGAACCAGGAACATTCATCTTCCTGAATTCGAATCTAGCCTGGAGGTCAGGAAACATCAGATACGATTGAAAAACGATTAAACAACAACATCCACCTATGTAGATTTCCTTCCCTACTTTGACAGACCCAGATGACAGTGAAATTCATGTGTCAGGTACTTCTCCCACACACACATGCATAATTTCCCCTCCCTTTACATTCTTTTAAAATCTCCAAAATATAACACAACCATTTTCAGGATCTCTGTTTAAGTACACTCTACTTATGCCCCTGATGAAGACAAGTTATAAGGGCACATATGTACCATCTCCCTATATTAGAATGTAAGCAATTTATTCTTGTTTAGTTCCTTTTGACTGACCATTCATATTTCCTTTGTACATTTCTTTTGGGGCAGCTAGGTGACACAGTGGATAGAGTGCCACACCTGACGTCAGGAAGACTCATCTTCTTGAGTTCAAATCTGGCCTGACACTGTGTGATCCTCGGTATGTCACTTAATCCTGTTGGCCTCAGCTTCCTCATCTGTCTAATGAGGCGGAGAAAGAAACGGCCAACCATTCCAGTATCTTTGCCAAGAAAACCCCAAATGGGATCAGAAAGAGTCAGACACAACTGAAACAACTGAACAACACCATATTTCTTTTACTTCCTCTGTATATATTTCAGTTTCTGCTCAGCTTTGGTCTTCTTGTCAGGAATGACTGGAGGTCCTCTATTACATTTATGATCCGTTTCTTCCACAGAAGAGTCTTTCACCTTTTTCACAGGAGTAAAGTAGCACAGTTCAGAATCAGGAGTCCTATGGAATTGTAATTTGTCATTGTGTGGATCAAGGTTCCTAAGTTGTTCAAAAGTTATTTGTCTTTACCATCTGGTTGTCACTGTACAATCTTCCTGGTTGTATTCATTTCATTCTGTATCAATTCATACAACTCTTCTTAAGACTTTTCTGAAACCATTGCCTTCATCATTTTTACAACAAATAGTATTCCATAACATTCATAAAACTATGACTTATTTATCAGTTTTTCAACTAATAGACACCTCCTCAAATTCCTTTTATTTTCTGATTCAAAAAGAGTTATGAATATTTTTATACATTCTTAGAGTTCACTTTGCTTATAATTAATCCCTTCCTTAATCTATCCAACCTTAAACTCTATCGTTTGCCGTCTCTCCTTTCTCACCTATTTCCTTTTTTTATTCCTTTTTTTATAAACTTCTACATTCCTTTTCTCACCCCTCCATGTATTTTTCTTTTTTGTACTTCTTTAAAGATCATTAAGACATAACAGAACCACAGCCTTCTGTCCAATCAGACTTCCTATGACTCCTATATCATCTCCCCTCCTTAAAATGTAAGTAAGCCGCTTATCTTCATTAGTCCCTTATGATCGTTCATTCATATTTACATTTTTATGTCTCTCTTGATTCTTATGTTTGAACTTCAGAGTTTCTATACATCTCTGGTCTTTTCATCAGGAATGCTTGTGCATGATAGGAACAAGAGCCTGAGAGCATGACTTGTGGCATCACTATTATTACAAACAGTAAAACAGCTCCCATGGGAAATTTTACATGTACCAACCCATGTAACCACGGGTCATTTCTTGGCACTAAGACTTCTTTGTTCTTTTTCTATAGAATATCTGGCCTGGCCTAAGTATGCTGCAGAAATCTACTACTTTCCTCTGGCCACCTCGGTCTGGCATCATGATTAAGTTCCCCCAATAAAACCTATTACTTACATGCTGGTGAAAATTGGCCTCTCTTCAGTATCTCAATACCCTCTTGGAGGTGGGACCATCCCTCTGAAAAGTCTGTATTGATACAGCTTGAGAGTCCTCTATTTTATTAAAAATCCATTTTCCCCCTAAAAGACTATATTTAATTTTGCTCGGTAAGTTATTCTCTTTTTTTCTGTTTTTTTGGTTAGGCAATGGGGTTAAGTGACCTGCCCAAGGTCACACAGCTAGTAAGTGTTACGTATCTGAGGCTGGATTTGAATTCAGGTCCTCCTGAATACAGGGCTGGTGCTCTATCCACTGCACCACCTAGTTGCCCCTGGGTAAGTTATTCTTGAGTGTAACCTTATATTCTTTGCTTTCTGGAATAGTAAATTCCAAGCCATCTGCTCCTTTGGAGTCATGGCTGGTAAATTCTTTGTGATCCTGACTGTGACTCTGTTATTTAAACTCTTTCTTTCTGATTGCTTGAAGGATTTTTCCCCCAGGACTCTGGATTTGGGTTATAACATTCCTGAGAGATTTCATTTTGGTGTTTCTTTCAACAGGTAATGAACAGATTCTTTCTGGGGTCCTATTCTTCTAAGAGGAGTGGGCAATTTAAGATTTCTTCAAATATGATGTCTCTGCTATTTTTTTGGTCATGGCTTTCAGATAGTCCAATGATTCTTATGTTTTCTTCCATCTTTTTCAGTCCTTTTGTTTTAATATTTCTTGTCATCCTATAGAGTCATGAAATACTATTTGGTCCATTTTAATTTTCCAAGATATTGTTACTTGGTCAAGGATTTTTAAATCTCATGCCAATTTGTTAATTCCCTCTCCAATTCCTTATTGCATAACTTTCATTTTTCCCCAATTTTTATCTCTAGCATTTTCATTTGATTTAAAAAAGCATTTCTAATGTTTTCAACTTTTGCTCCTTTCTTCCAGGATTTCTAGTTGAATTTGTGCCCACACTGCGCTTATCTTTGAGGCTTTGCTTGTACATGTTTTAGAGTTATTCTCTTCTGGGTTTGTGTCTTTAATGTCCTGGTAATCAAAATAACTTTTTATTGTAAGGTTCTTTTTGTTCTTTACTCTACTCCCTGACTTCAGACTTTATTGTAATGCTCTGTGTAGTTATAGGTGTAATGGATTAGATTACTATTAACCAACTAGAAAATTTACAGTGATATAACTGCAGGCACCCCTTTAGTCTGGGATTCCTACACTAGTTACTCTGCTGCAACCTCCAGACTAGGCGGGAGGTTTAAAACTGCAAACCCACTCAGCAACTAGAGTCACAGCCTCAAATCTACTATTTGCGTCTGAATTTTTCCTTGCTCAGTACGCAGCTAAGGGCACTCAACCACTCCTCATCTTGGAACTGCTTCTCAATCTGGAATGAAACCCCTAGACACAGGTCTCCATCTAAGTTCACCCTGGATGTGTAACCCAGAATTGGGTAGTGAGCAACAAAGCTGCCAGCTGGTCCCAATTATGGCAAACTTGGACAAAGATGTTGCTCCACTATATGATCCCCGAGACCTGTTCTTTCCCTTGTGAAGAGCTTCAATCTTCTTTCAGTTACCGAGTGTTGAAATATTCCGTGGGGCAGATCCTGTCCCTGGTGTCAGCAGAGCTCTCTGAAGTTCTACACTGATCTGGGCTGGAAACATAACTCATTGTGATTATTTCTTAGATTTCCCAAATAGGACTTCCTCAGATGAGTTTGCTAGATGAGTGGCAGCTTAAAGAAGAATCAACTATTTCACGCCTTTTTCAACTGGTAAGTTTGTCACAATCTCTGTTATCAAAGATGGATTGTTAGCTCAAAAAACCTGGATTCCAATTCAGCTTTGCTACTCATTATTTGTGTGACCATGGTCAAGTCCTTCCACCTTTTTGGGCCTCAGTTACCCAATTTATCAGAGAGGTTTTGACTAAATGAACACCAAGATCCCTTTTGATTCTAAACCCTAAGAGTCAGGTGGGAGAAGTTCTATACCCTTTCAATGGTCCTTTGGTCATGTGTCATCAACTAAAGTCACACTTAGGTCAGTCAAATCTGGACCAGTTGTCCTAGGAGGTTTGTTTTATTTTATTTTATTATTTTTTCCAATTAACAATCATTTATTTTCTTTCCTTCCTGCTTAACAATAAAGAAATAAATAAATAAAGCCCTCATAAGAAATTTGCACAGTTAAGCAAAACACATTCTCTCACTGGCCATGTCCAATAATGCATGTTTCATTTAGCATTTTGAGTCCATCACTTCTTCTGGAAGGAGGCTGGCAGTGTGTTTCATTTTTAGTTCTCTGGAAAAATAGTTTCTGACCCCTACACCTTAAAAGTAGATAATGAATCCTTAATTCTGCTATTAGAGGCCGTTAGCAAAGAATACTAAATTAGGAATAAAAGGGCTTAGCTTCAAATAGCACTGGATTTGGAGTCTAAGAACATGGATGCAAATTCAACCTTGGTTCACTATATGCCCAGGGCGAATCACTAAATCCCTCTTAAGTCTCATTTTCCTCACCTATAAAAAAGAGGGACCAGACTAGAATATATCTGAGGTCCTTTCTAGATCTAAATCTAGAATTATGGCTTTGCTGCTTCCTACCTGTGTGACTTGAGGGAAGGGTCTCTGAACCTGAGTCTCTTCTGTACAATGAAGGGGATTAAATAACAATAAAACAATATAATGCTTTGAAGTTTGCAAAGCCCACTATATAAATAATATAACTTAATCCACACAACTCAGTAATGTACTTTTATAGGTATTATTATTATCTTCTTCATTTTACAAAAAAGCAAAGCAAGCTCAGCAACTTTAGGTGGCTTATCTTTAATAACAGTCTATAAGAGCAGGAGATAACATGTGAACCACAGGCATCGTGACTCTCAATTCAGAAAACGATGTGATCTGTATCAATGGCAGAAATACCCACATTAACAAAACAAGTATAATTAATGTGGAAAAAGAAATTTTTAAAGAAATGAAACATGGTCTTCCCTTTATTATGCATGAGTCCTAAATAGGTGGCATTTTAAAAGATAACTTTTCCGAAAAAAAAAAATTATTATTTAGAAAAACAAATGAGAAATAAAGTAAAACACACACACACACACACACACACACATACACACACACACACACACGAAAGCATCTCCAAGCCAGCCTTTCTAAATTGAGTATACTTACAGACTGCTTAAATTCTTTTAATTGCATTTGGAGGACCTGGGCTTTGTCGATCTCTTTTTTCATATCATGTACATTCTTTTTAAATTCTGTGACCTCTAAGCGGAGTGAACGCCGTTCTACTTCTGCTGCATGCAATCTTTGGGTAAATTCATATATTTGCTTTTGCAAACATTCTATACTTTTCTGTTGGCAAATGGAAACAATTTTAGACTTTATTAAATTGGCTACTTTATTATCAAATCAATAGGATTTGCTATCTAAAAAGACTTTAGTTATACAATATATTCTAAGAGAAAAAAATCATACCAACCGCTATCAAAATCTAGAGATCATTTACACAATTTGAAAAGATGAATTGTTTTATCTGAACTATTATTTCTGTAAAATATAACAAGAAACAGCAAAAAGAAAACCTAACCTTAATGATGTCAAGAAAACTTGAAATATCCCTGTCTCCTATAATGCTACTTTAGTACAGTTATGAATTGTGAGCATTAATAACAAATTCTCATATTGTTATCCTCTAGACACTTATTAATAAATATATTAATTTACTATCTAGCATAAAACAATTACATAAGTAAATTATGAAAATCTGAATGTATTCATATGCAACAAACTAAAACTGTGTCAAATGCAAAAATAAGGATAGGGACTAGACCTTTGATTTCACTGGCACAGGGAACTCTTCTACGAGAAAACTTCCTCCACCAATGCAGGTCAGCATTTTCTCTTCAACTTCTATTTTAAGGAAGTCTTCTCAATCATTGAGAGGTTAATTATGTGTCAGAGGTGGGACTTAAACCTAGGTCTTCCATGTTTTGAGGCCAGCTCTCTGTCTACTAGGCCATGGCTGTCTCAGCTAAGTCATACTAAGAATGAACAAATGCTTTGAGAGGAATAAAGCAGAGGGAAAGATTTAAGAAGAAGAGGTAATGACGAAAAAGATATTTCAGAGTTCACAATCACTGGGGGATAACATTTCTAGAAATTATCAATATTAGAGGTCAGCAAACTAAGCCAGCTGGCCAAATGTAGCAATTTATGAGATTTGGTTTTTTTTGTTTGTTTGTTTTTTGCACAGCCAACAAGCTAAGAATGTTTTTTTACATTTTTTAAATACAACAAAACTTTACTTTAAAAAGAAAAAAACTCTTAGTTCCCAAAATGGTAAAAGGAAGCAGCAGGCCCAATTTGGCCCATGTAGTGTAGTTTGCCAACCCCTGGTGGTACAATAAGAAATCACATGTGACAGCAGAAAAGATGAAGGAACTGGAAAGCCAATCTGTGAGGGTGTGGAAGGCAAGCCATAGGAAAAAACCAAAGCCCTTAATCATGATGTTAGAAGTTGGGATGTAGAGGAAAATTGAGCCCTGTAAAGGAATTTTTTTTTCAGAAAGGAGACAAAATAACCTGCTGGCCAGACACCAAAGATAATAATCAAAATCATAATAACAGCTATGTGCCAAGCTCTATACTAAGCACTTTACATCTAGACTGGATGATATAAATAGTTAATATGAATCACAAAGGAAGAGTAGTAGCTGAATAATGACAGTTGAAGGAAGGGCTGGAAATGCCAAAGAGGAACAAACTAAATCCTCCAACTCAAAGTGTGTCAGAGTATATGAGAGACAATATCCAGTATTGGAGAGAATGGCCTGAAATTGTGAGATCCAAATGGAACTGGGTTCCAAAATCACTTGAAGATGAAAAGAATGATCTTCCTGGCTCTAAGATCAGCTAGAGAGCCATCCATTATGTCATGATGCCTCTCGATGCAAAGAATATTTGCTGGACAATTCTGATTCAAAATTTAATTTACAAGTATTAGGTGACTGAAAACAGTATAATCTCCATTATACTGTGAAAATATTCTTTATATAAATCACAAGTTAAATACCTACCATAATGGGCACAGGGCCACTTAGACCATACTTCAAGGCTTCTGTGTTAACTTTATGAAGTCCTCGGGCCAACCTCTGAACCAGGGAATCCTTTTCCATATATGTAAAACTTCTACTACTGCCCAGTGTTACATTCTCCATTGCCAAGCTAATTTTATCCATGAGTTTTGCAAACGAATTCTTTGCTGCACTTATAAGTAAATGTCCACAAAGCATAGAATTTGGATCTTGGAGGGGAAAAAAGAGGTAAAAACATTAAAACTATTGTATTTATCTCCTACTTGTTTTACAGTAATGCATTTCAAAATACAATGAATTAAATTTCCTTAAATGAAAAATATTCCAGTTACTTCCGTAATCACCCACAGTCATTCATCCAAAAATTTATCTCCTTCTTACTTTGTAATATCCCTTCAATTAATTTAAAGGCTGGGAATTACCCATTTTAATAGGATGGTGAAAATAGCTAAGATATTATATAAGAAATACATAAAGAAAATCTCTTATACTTTAAAAAATGTCATTTATCTACAATATTTACAACAGAGAAAATTTAACACTATTAGCTTTTAAATCATAACACCTTAAATTATTTCCTGTTTCCAACTAGTATAGCTGAGTACTTTAATGCCATACTATTTATATTCTGAGACAAGAGGATATAATTTGCCTTATTCAAAGGCAATTAAAATTTTACAACTACAATTACTTATTTCCCCACAGGATTTTGGTAATCATCCTTCTCATATAATGGACTTAAGGCCCCAGCACACCCAACATGTCCTGCTTACTGCTAGATTCATCAGGTCTGTAATTAATAATTGTGTTTAATGTTGATAAATAAAATTGTCAGTGCTTCTTCTACTAATTGGTATTCTAGATAACGGTTAATAGGTTTATTTATGCCTTAATAAAAGTCTTGTAATTTAGTTTTCCCTCTACTAGACAGGTCTTAATCTGTCATTACTTGTCTTGTGATACTATCAGTGTAAAATGACAAGCATGAAAGGCCTTATTTATATTAAGCAGTATACCATTCTATACTTCAAGAGGTTCTTGTTGCTGGAGTTACTTTAAACATTTTCTTTAAATCTTAAGTTAAGAAAAAAAACTCTATTCAGTTCTAAATACACAAATAAATATATTTCGCATTATAAGAATAAGCCTAAGATTTAAAGCCCAGAGTTTAAAATTAAAGAATAAAACTGGTAATATTTACATGGCATATAATCCACCAAGATTTGTTTTTACTTAAATTACACTACATAATGAATTTTTTCATCCAAGAATCAACTGTATTGTTTGTTGAATAAATTAATGTGGTGGAGCTGGGGGTGAGTGAGCTGATTGTTCATTGATATTTTATTTCATACAAGAGAAAAAACATTCTTAGGTTGGCTTCATATGCTAACATTTTAGTTTCAAACAGGTATTCTCTGCTTCATAAAACTCATAAAACACAACATTAAAGAATCAGTGATATTGAGATAATGTTATAACCTTATATTGTACTACTTATTTCTACCAATTAGTAATTATTTGAGTTCTAGTTCCAAAAAACGTGATATGTGTAATTCTACATGCTAAAGTAAACATATGGAAAGTGCTATTAATAAAATCCACACCCACAGCACATGGAAAACATGGGTGGATTTTCTTATGAATACTATATTAAGCACTTTAAGAATAAAAAAGACATATTTGAATAGATTCTGTGCCAACCAAAATATATTACATAAAACTAAGTTAAGACTCTTAACTTAATACAATGCACATTAGAGACATTCAATAGCTTATCAATAATAAATATACAATGTATCTTTTTCACATATACGTCTTGTTTATATTTGGCAGGGACTGTGCCTTGTATTCTTTCCTTCAAAGCCCTCATCCTTCCCCAACAATTGACAATGCTGAGCACATAGCACATGTTCAGTAAACACTTGTTCATTTCCAGCTGCTGAATTTTAGGATTAGGGATATTTTGCTTGGATTAAGACAGCAGGTCTAGAAACCATAAGTAGAAGTTGTTAAGATCACTCTAATAAGTAGCATTGTCTGAATGGAAGATGGACTAACTCAGAAGATGTGGGTCCTTCTCAATAGAGGCCTTCCAAGTAGCAGTTAAATGAACACTTGTTAGGGACATTGTAGAGGAATCTGAGTAAGGGAATATGGGATGAATGGCCTCTGTGATTCCTTTTCAATGCTAAGTTTCTATAAATTTCCATTATTCAGAAGTATATCTGAATTTGCATTCAGTTTTTAAAAAGTAAACTTTACAATCTTTGTTTCACATTATAAAAGCTCAATTTTAAATTTTGTCCAGAAATTTAAAATAAATATTTCACTAGATTTGAAAGCATTGATGCTATATTTAATTTTTAACGAATAATTATATTAACAAATCACAGATGTGCATCAATATAAGATACTGACTAATTTGAAGGGTGAAATAAAAAATTAACAATTCTGAAAGCATTCTATCTCTAAATGGGGGAGAGATATATACTGTATCTGAACATAAACAATAAAAAATTAAAGAAAACTAAATAATGTATTATTTGATAAATATGTAATAAATCCTTTATACAATTTAGTTACATCACAAAGTACAATCAATCTGATATTAAAGGAAGCAAAACAATCTAAAATTGCAAATATTATTCTACTGACACATTTATTGTTATTTGTGGATTTGTCTTATAAAACTCAAGTACGAACTGAAATCCCTCGAGATCAAACATATTAGTGTTATTTCAAAACTTCAATTTGACGCATTTAGCAATTATTTTTGGGTAATTAGAAATATCACTTGATTGCTTGAATTTGTTTAACAATTTGAAGTTCTTCATATGTATATTAAGCTGATATATATTCCATGCTGTTTTAGTTCTGTAAATATTTATTTAAATGAAGATGAAACTATTGATCACTTTATTCACTCCTCTGCATTAGCAAAACATAAAATTTGAGTAAGTACTAGTAATGTAGGTGGTGCAGCGATTAGAGTGCCAGGCCTGGAATCAAGAAGGCTACAATTCAAATACAGCTTCATATACTTGCTAGCTGTATGACCCTAGGCAAGTCACTTGATCCTGTTTGTCTCAGTTTCATGATCTGTAAAATGAGCTGGAGAAGAAAATGGCAAACCACTCCAGTACCTTTGCCCAGAAAACCCCAAATGGAGTCACATAGAATTGGACATGACTGAACAACAACAACAAAATGCACAAATACACATATAGAACTAAACTTCAAGATGTTTCATCAATAAAAATTGTTGACCAAAAGCAAATGATGTATTGCTAAATGATAACTGTTAAATGCATTAACTGAATGTAATAAGAAAAGCCCAAAAATATAGCATCAAGGCATCTGAAAATAATTTTATATAAAATTATAATAAATAATGATTGTTCACATTTATATAATGCTTTACGGTTTGCAAAGCACCTTACATATATATGTATACTTTGTCATATATACGTATGTATACCTTCCATATATATTACATATATATGTATACCTTATTTTATATATATATATATATGTGTGTGTGTGTGTGTGTGTGTGTTTGTATAAAATTTCATTTGATCCTCCAAACATTTTAATACAGACACTACTATTATTCCCATTTTGCACATTTAAGAAACTGAGGCTGAGACAGATTAAGTGCTTTGCCCAGGGTTGTAAAACCCATGTGTGCCTGATAAACAATTTATACTCAAGTCTTCTTGACTCCAGTCCTGTGGTTTACATCACTAGGCTTAAAAGCAGTATATCTAACAATTGAATCATCTTTCTTCCTCAAATCTAATGATTGCTCCCAACTTACCTATTTCTACTAATAGCACTACTTTCCCAATCACCAATCCTTAAAAGGAGTCTTCTTTGACTCCTTCCTCTCTCTCCACCTACATCCAAATAATTCACCAAATCCTAAATAGTCTACCTAAACAATCTTTTACATTTATCCTGTTTCATTACCTTTCACCTGGAAAAGTGTTATAGCCTCATACTAGTCCCACAAGTAATGCTCTTCTCCATCAGAGAAGGCAGTCTGGTGTAATGGAAAATGTACTAAACATTAACTCAGATCTGGGTTTCATGTTTAGCCTTACTATGAACATGCTGTGTTATCTTAAGTAAATCAAGTAACTTTTCAGAATTTAATTTGACTCATCTGTAATAATAATTATAACAACAAACATAATAAATCCAATTTACAATAACTGAAATTATAAAATGTTTTCCTTAAAATATTTCTGAGATAGGACAAGCATTATCATCTACATTTTACAAATAAGGAAAATGAAATTCAAAAAAGGTTCAGTTATTTGCCTACTACAACACGACTCTTAAGTAATAGAGCCCAGATTCAAAACCCAAGTCATTTGATTTCCAAATCCATGCTCTTTCCACAAGACTAAGTAGGATGCTTTCTTTCAGGCTTTGAATTACTAACAGCATTTTTTTTTTATTATGAGGAAGCTAAACCTGCTCACTTTAAAGGACACTTTAGCTCAAAATGTTATTCTATGATTCTGTAAATCCACTAACCATATCAATGAGAAGATTATTTAATGAACAAATTCAAGTAAAACTTTTGTTTGTAAGCACTCTAATACAAAAAAAAATGTTGCGGATAAATGTTATTTAAATATGGACATTAATTAAGGGTCATGGAAATGTCTAGGTATTTTGTCAAAGATCAAATAGAATTATATTAATACATTTGAAGTTTTTCTTTTTCTAAAAACAATCCTCAAGATAATTTTTCAAATGTATTGCCAATAAGGGCTAAAGCTTAAATCAGTATATTACTTTAGGCTTAAAGAGTGCATTCAACACAACAAAACTATGAGATAGGCAGTGTAAATATTATATCTGTTATTTAGATTTATAATGAAGCAAGCAGAGATTCTAAAAAAAAGATACCTATAGAAAACCAGTCTGAGCCCCACATCCTTCTTTCACATGGCAGCTGACTTTTGTAATATTTTTTAAATATTAAGCAGTGAACTGTGAAACAGATGCAAGGGCCACAGGAAGTATCAGAGGTGGAATCTGAAGCAAGATCTTCTGGAGTCCAAGTCTGGCATTCTATTAACTACATCACAGGACATTATGGTATGTACTATAGGAGATAGATAGTTTCAGCTAATACAGTTCCTGACCTCAGGGAGCTTAGAGCCGAATCCAGGGATTTGGATCTGAAATAAAT